AAGTTGACTATTACATCCATCAAACCGACATTCCTACCGGGACCTGATGGTATAAGCGTTGCAGATACAAGGCTTGGAGGCAAGAACCTACCGCTCCTCATGCTGGACTTCCTTACGTCGTCACCGAGCACTGGCTGATTGCCGCCTCATGGACAATTTCAGTAAATGTGCCGAAACACATAAGTGGTCCAAGAGATCATATGCTAACCATCAGCCATTAAACCTTACATACGTCACCGCTAAGGCCACCAAAAGGATCGTCAAGAATCGTGCAAATCAATTGCTGACAAGTGCAAGCAAACCCAACAGTTCACAACCGGGGCACGCTAAAAAATATTACAGTGTCACATGAAAAATGCAATTACTTTATCGTATTACAGTAACATTAAGGTGGCGTGGCCGTCATTGCGATTCTTCTGGGTATGTAAAAGTGCCTGACTTCGTACCGTACAAACAATTATTAGTAGTGCTTGAGTCAAATTGGAGCAGTAATCCGGTATTGAGCTAGTCCAATTAATAAATGAGCATGTTAACACAAAGCGCACAAATAGGTCAAAACTGCTCCGCCCCAGTGCATTTCCTCGACTACATACGCGATATATGTGGCTAAAAAGGATACACTTGTGTCGAGGCCGATTGCTCACACCCCGACGACCACAAGATGAACTCGAACATGAGCCGGGACCGAGTTGCTTGCATTAAAACACTGCTTACTTATATAGGGTATAATAGTTTATGAAGCACAGCTGCTAAAGCATGTTGGAGCCAAGCAAAATTATGGGAAACAAGGAGTAATACGAGTTAATGAGGAGTGACAAAAGAAAGAACCAATCACGCGAGTCCGAGGAAACCCTATTAGTGGAAACAGACCACTGAGATAGCGTCCATTATGAATGACTTAGGCTAGCCAATCGAGGCGTAGGAATGATTCGTTTAAACAAATGTCAAGAAGTAAACGGTGGCGAAACAAAAGCAGGAGACTAACTATTTTAGCAATATATATATATATATATATATATCAGTTTTGTATCCCCCTTGTAGTCGCCAGCGGCCATATGCGGGCAGTCTTAATATTTCGAACTGATGGAGTGAAGGCTGGTCAATAAGTTCTTTGATAGATAAATCTCAGATGCCATGCCAGTAATGCTGTATATTTGGATGATCCATCTATCTTACTTGTACACCATCCTGAACTCATTTCCGGTCCGGACTTACGAATTTGTTACTCTAGCATCTTCAACTTTTCCGGACCCATCCCACATTAATGCGTGAAGGCGAAACAGTTAACAAGTGCATCACTAAGTCATATTCACTTTCCCCAACATAGTTTGAATCATTCGGAACTCATAGTGCGGCCTATACTAGATTGCTGCGGCGTCATACATAGACACCATCACGAGGCAAATAGAAGTGTCTTATTAGTCCAGCGTTCATCTACCAAAATGATCATGGGGTGATCATTAAGGCTTACCTACCAGGGATATGTTCTTATCTTTCGGCTTGACACATTCTGGCCACAACGACTGAAGGGTAATCTCTATCTTTGCAATCACTGCACATATTTGCGAATCTTCTCAACCAGCCCTAGTGTAGTTTTAGAAAATGGCTCAACCTATCACACGCGTAACTGGAATTGTACAATTCTTACAGAAGACCGCTAAAAGTATTCCGTTAAATATTCACCCGGTGAGGCGCGCCCATCGGTGAAATATGTTACCGTTGCTATTGAAAACCAGTGAGAGTTTGTTCATATTTAATTCACATCTAAATATATTTTCTTTGCCAGATGTGGTCACGCATTTTAGTCTTCAACAATCTACGAGTGCGCTCATGGAGTGGTGCATGAAAAACAGATCATACAAAACTAGCTCTCCAATAATCTCTGTTGCCTTTTATCTATTCCACAAGTAGTAATAGCACTGTTGATCCACATTGATTTTGAAGTTAATAAATAAAATGCTGATGCAACTCACCGTAGAAATGTCTGTTTCACCAACAGAAACGAATCATACTCCTCGGGGTATCTATTTATTTATTTATTAACTTATGTGTCACATGTCACTGATTCCGATTTTCGTCGCACCGTCGTTTGCAGTGGTGTGATGAGCAATGGGACAATGGTATAATACGGGTAAAACAAGGTCAGCGCTTGATAAGTGCCGCAGGATGATTTGGGAAACGCGTATCCGTGGACTCGCCATAATATCCACATAATATTCACACACGTATATCCACGTATCCTGATTTTGGGGGGCCTGGCGAACACAATGTTTGTCCGCGGTTTGTCGTCACTCAATAAACACACTACAAATCAAATAATGCAGACGGTGTATTTCATCGTCAAGTCGTTTTTTAAAAGTAGGCACCATGGGCGCAGGAACGACAAAAACTCGAAAGATCACTCCGCGGTCGACAAATTCGAAGAGATAAATAATGCCGGCGACCTTCCAGCTAACTGGACTGAGTGGACAGTTTCAGCTAGTGACCCCACATTCTTGCTTTGCGACTAAGTTTAAGGAGGTAGCGGCTAATTCGAACAGGGACTTTCAAAATATCATAGGTCTGGATGTGACCGCTCCATAAACAACGATACCTTCCGCTGTACACTCCTAAAACTCTAAGCCGCAATTGGTAGGTCAGGTGGAACAATTCTTACCCATTTTTGGTTGTTTTTCGCAGTGGGATCTCTAGTGCAGACAGATTACGTTTTAGCTTAGGGTTGCCGGGGATAAATCGCGTACTCTGCAGCTTGAGACGGTGGCAGCAGGCGTTCTCCAATTGTACAGAAGAGACCACTATACCACATGCGATCAAACAGCTCAAAGTGTGACGTTGAGCTTTTATTCGTGTAACTCTGTTCGTAACCGCGGCTTGGAATATATGCTGGGCAGAATGGGCTGTCCCACGTATGACACGAGGGCGATATTGGGTTTCTGATCCCTCCGGTTGGTTTGTCCCACCCCCTTTGAATCCCAACCTTTCTATCCAGGCTTTTTAGCAAAACCATCAAGTGGAACAAAAGCTGTTTTCAACCTCAGACTGTGCATCTCCGCTAGGAGCTAGTGAAACCGCATTCATATAGTGAAGCGTCCAATGATCATGTACCCCAGATGGGCGACTGTCCCACGGAAACTGGCTCGCCACGTTGTTTCCTCTCGGATGTTTTGGATAGTCTAGGCAACGCGCTGTCGAAACTGTCATATGGGATATAGCATACGTAGATTTAAGCGGCCAAAGCGGAAACCCTTGTGCTTTGATCCGAAAGTCACGTTTTCTTTCCCATGGCTTAGAATCGTATGGTTTTGCATCGAATTCAGTGGGTTAGTGCGTCAGCTATGCTTCGCCGATCCTGACCGCCTGACCGTCGCCCCTCGTCAGTTCGGAATGTTCACTGTACGGCTCCACAAGTTGGAAGTATCATGGAGTCTGGGGATGCCAGCATCCATAAAGGTTGGCATCAGTAGTATGAATTGGGACTTTCGACATCACTGTAGGTTCGTTCGACCGGGATTAATCTTTGCTTTCTCATGTTTGCAGTAGTGGGGAAAGTATTAATTGACCGAATCCCAGTTGAAACTAAGCCATATACCTAGTTAATCAGACCTCTAGACGGGCACGCAGGTTGTTCTTTGCTCTTGACATTTGGGACGTAAACTAAGCGTCCTAGATGGAAAGTGTAGTCTTTGAATTAACTCCACAGTTAGGTGTGCACTACCAGCAGAAATGCGCGGTCTTCTGCGCTTAGCAAATATCGGGAGAAGGGATCTGAGTACTTGGGTGCCAAATATGCAGGTGGTGGCTACCAACGCAACAACTAAGCACCAGGTAAATCTGTTGAAATAGATCGGGAAACATTAGTGCCTGTTTATTCCAACACTGGGTTAGTTCAGTTTCCAGTAAGTGACATAAGTCCAGTTTACCAGTTTGATAAAAAAAACCGTGTCGAATAAACGGCAGTGCGCACACGACACTGATAGATGCGTTCGTGTACACACTCTTAAGCTGTGGCATCAGAACTGGAAGAGTTGCTTTAATACTAAGTGGCATAACGTTCGTTATCGATCGGCAGCAATAAGTCACCGCTTTGATCGTATGTTGTGAGCCAGTACACTACAATTTTAACCCAGCGGCGCAAGCAGTGTTGCTCTGGTATCATCATAGCAAGCTATTGTCGCTTCAGAACAGGATGAAACGCAGACTAACAAATGCAACTTGTTGCATTCCGGTGGTAGAAACGGCTAATGGCACACCTCCCCACTGTCTCTGTCGACTTGGAGCATTAGGGATTCATGCAAAGTTACCACTTGTAAGGTGAATCAGCTATGTCAGCGTCTGTGGCATTCGGATAATAGTAACTATTCTAGCACTGGAATGAGCATTGATACCACCATATCGTCGCTCTGACAACAGCTGTGCATGTAGTCACAAAGGAATGGACTACCCTCACCTCTACCCCCAGTACAGTTGGTGATTGGGTTGGTGACGGTCTGGTGGATATTGCCAGCTAACTGAGGCGTTAAGCTAGTAGATAAATCCTTCTTTGGTGGCTAAAAAGTGTAAGTAGGAAGGATGGAGTGTGAGTATGGATAAAACGCGAATAAAGTGGGGGCCGGTAATGGCGATAAATTGAAAAAGTCGGTAAAACAGAAGGCTCGTAAGGTCCGAGCGATGTTTACGGGGTCAGTTCAGTACTAACAACTATTGAAGCTTCTAAGCAAGTCCAACCGCCGTTAATGCAGCTTGTACTAGTTTTCCCGTTTATCACGTTGTTTGTTGCCGTTACTCCGGTGGCAATCTGCGGATCAATTGTAACTGACATCCCCATTCCTCTCATTTTCTGTGGGACTACACCAAAATACCGTATGGGAATCAGACCATGGGTGGTGAAGCGCAAAACACTTTTATTTGTTATTCAGGCACAAGTCGCCAGGGGCCGCTTGCGGTCAGGAGAAATGAAGAACCTAGAAAAAACCTCGAAAAGATAAACACCATCACCATCATCATCCATCATCATCATCATCATCATCATCATCATCATCATCATCATCATCATCATCATCATCATCATCATCATCATCATCATCATCATCATCATCATCATCACCATCATCATCATCATCATCATCATCATCATCATCACCATCATCATCATCATCATCATCATCATCATCATCATCATCATCATCATCATCATCATCATCATCATCATCATCATCATCATCATCGTCATCATCATCATCATCATCAGCAGCAGCAGCAGCAGCAGCAGCAATAACAATATCAACAATAAGAATGGCGGCAACATTAAAGATAGCGTCAACGCGAGAAAATCCTCCGGAAACCGTCAGTTTGTAACCTTCCGCTCCGTCCTTCTCTACACGCTTGGATAATTTGTCTAAGCTAGCAAACTGGTGAAGCGGCACTGCCACGCAGTAGCGACGGCAGGCGATCAACATGGCGGACACCCTGTACCACTTCAACACTCACGTGAGATGTGATCGACAGTGGGGGCGGTGATGTCGAGGGTCCATGTCCGTTCAGGGGACCTCATCAACTATCTTCGGACTACTGAACTAGGTACCGCTTGATATCACACAAGCCGATGATTGTCGATATCAAAGGGACCGGTGTAGCAGAAACCCTCAAGAGTCATTTGGAGGAATGTAACGTTGCCGCGTCAGACCAGCAAGGATTCCTCCGGAACCTTATTGCACCAAAGACCTGTTAACTGCTCGCTCCAGTTGGACAGAAACCTTCGATAGTGATGTGAGAGTTAAAGCTGTTTGTTTGTAATTGTAAAAAATGTTTGCCCGTCTGAACCACAGCATTCGTCTTCACAGCTTTAGGGCTGTGGAATCGGTGAACCGGTCCTAGGTTGAGTAAGTAACTTTCTTTTTCAACAGCATCTGAATGTAAGAGTTGGCAGCGCCATCTCTGATCCCAAAGAAGTTCAATGCAGCGTGCCACAGCACCCAGTTTTGAATCCACGCCTATTCGTGATTTTTATATAGACGAGCTCCCAAAGTGATAACCTCAAATCTCTTACCCTTCTTTGCTGATCTGAATATAAGGTGGATCATCAAAACGCAGGAGATAACGTAGCACTGCAGGATGAGATCGATAGGGTAGATCAATTGTAGTTAACGGTAAAAATTACCGGCCAAAGCGGTATTTGGATATTGGAATATTGCTCTAGGTCATCAGAACTGACATTTGTGCCTTCTGCTATCTTTCTGTCTGCCATCTGTCTGCCAAATCATGCCTTCGGATTCGCTGTCACCCACGGTTTTCGCCCAAACACAGCGTTTACACCTGCTTGGGCATCCCAATCTATGCATCTACCTACTCAAGTTGTCCCATTTCTCATGCTTCCTTGTCTCCTGTCGCTCATCACAATCCCTCAACCCATCAGCACAACTTGCCTTACCAGTCCCAGCTGTCTGATGTCCACTCATTCCCGCCTTTGCATGTAACCGCTCTTCGAGCCTAGCACGGCCACAAGGACCGTGCACTCTGTTCCCTCCAGCAACGACCAACAGCCATTCACTTGAAACGACAAGATAAATTAAATAAATCTAATAGTGCATACAGGTACGGTGACAAAACTCTTCGCTAAATTACCATATGAAGTAAGCTGGTTAGTAACGTAGCCGCGATAAGTAAGAAATGTCCACGAGTTAGTTAAAAATGCTACAAAGGCAGCAAAGTTACCGAAGATAAGCGCAATTAGCGCAAGCAACGTGGCCAGTTAACAGAAGATTATTCGGGTAGGTAGAACAAAGCAAATAAAGTGGAATGAAGTTTATCCAGGTTAAAAAGACCTAGTTTAAGTGTAAATTGGTTTAGCCCAACTGCGCTGAAGAAGCATGAAGAATACAACATCAGCCTCAGCATGGGGCACCGTATCCCTTAATACACTCTACAATAAACTCGTCATCGTTTATGAGCATGTGACCCAATGTAAGGGTCCCTGTGATTCCGCTCCCGGACTCTGGTTTTCGTGATCTGTTTGTATAGTCGCAAAAACGGCGATTTACACTCATCGGATACTACTATCCAAGCTGCAGCATTACGGGATCGGAGATCCTTTTTAAGCTGGATCGCCAACTTTCTACTTCAACGGCAATTAGTGCTCAGAGTTCGGAGCTCTTTATCGGACCCCGTACAAGTCGAGTGTGGTGGGCCGAAGGCTCAGTTCTAAGTCCACGTTTGTTTTTGGTGTTTATTAATGACCTTGCACAGGGAATCACTTCAAACTTCCTAATGTTTGCCTAAGATATCAAGATCTGGCACGGGATCGAGGCCAACCCCGACCAGCGTGTGCTTCGGACTGATTTAGATGCGGTTTATCAGTTGTCGACCCCAAAGTCAATGCAGTTCAACGTCAGTAAATGCAAGGTGCTTTCTACCCGACATCAGAGCAGTTACTCATACCGACTCGGAACGGATGTACTGCAACAATCAACTCTCGAACGTGACTTGGGTGTCCTGGTTCAAGATTACTTGGGTTGCTCCAGGCAATCCGAAAAGGCCTCGAAGACCGGGAACCAACACGTTGGGCTGTTGAGGCGGGCGTTTGGACAAATAAACAGCTCCATATTTCGACAAATGCTCAGTGCGTATGTTCGCCCCCATGTCGAATATGCAATTCAAGCTTGGCATCCATGGCTGAAACACGACCTTAATGCACTGGAGCAGCCACAACGCCGGGCATCTAAGAACGTAATTCGAATGCGCAATCTTCCCTACCAGGAGAGGCTGCAACGACTGGGATTGTTCAGTGAAAGCTATCGCAGGCTACGAGGCGACCTGATTATGGCACACTTGATTCTGCGAGATCCACATCATGTGTGCCGCCCTTTACTGCAACTCAGCAGCAATACAAACCTGAGGGGCCACGCATTAAAACTCGCAGAACAATACAGTCGTCTGGAGTGCAGCAGAAATTTCTTTTCCATTCGTGTCTGTCACCCGTGGAATGCTCTCCCAGAATCGGTCGTCTCTGCACCGACAGTAACAGTATTTAAAAGACGGTTGGACGATGCACTCATCCACTTACACTTGGTTACTTAACACTACGTTTCCATCCTACACCTGGAGTTTACCATGGAATTATTTGTTGTTAACTGTGGGTGCTGTGAATCTAAGAGGATCGCAGGACTACGACGAAGCAAACAATAAGTCCTTATTATCATATTTAAAGTATTAACAATTTTACTATCCTTATTATCATTATTGTTATTTTGAAATCCCCACCAACTATCCAACGGGACTTGTAAAGCAACGCTTCTTAACCCGTATAAATTCATTGTTCATTGTTCACTCACATTGCGTAGCTTGTAAAGACTGGGTTGTTTCAGTACTGAGTGGATATTTTTGAGCTATGTCCTTATTGGCTTTTGGTCTCCATTTGATTAGTACCGTAGTTCAATTCTGGCTCTGTTTTGGTTTGACCAGAGTGTTCTGCGAGGTGCGCAAGTACCAAGCGCGTTTGTAGCTTAAAGTGAACGATTCAGAACCCACTTCCTTTCAATTCTACCAAGGCATAGTGCATATGCCGTAACTCCAATTGCGAGTACAGTCTGACGGCCAATTTTTGCACAGCGCTTTTATTGAATGTAACCTAGGAGTGGTGGTGCAAGACGAGTTTGTCTGTTCAATTCAGGTTAGGTCATACAAATGGTCTGTTTAGGAGAGTAAAATTAATCCCATCTAATACAGTCCATTGTTGGGTTTTAGAATGTCCACCATGTGTCATGATTGCGACACGCAACCTAAATTGGGGCCACTATTTACTTGAAAGCAAACGCCGAACCTCCACCTCTAATGTTCTGTGTGATCTCAATTAGTCGGGTGCAGTCATCGGCTTTCTATGGTACTCTGTACAGCGTCCGAAGTACACAAATGTCGATTGCTTGCCCATCTCTATTCCGTACTCCTACAGAAAAACATCTATTTCGCTGACTACTACTATGTAAACAGTAGTAACCGGACGGTTATTTGATAAGGTAAGAATGACGCTTAACCAGGGTGCGTCACAACTGACCGTGCCAAATATGCCCTCCGAGTACCGGAAACGTATATGACACTGGAGCGTGGGATGTGACACATCGCGGCTGACAACACAAACACAGGGAACCCCAGGACCCATGGCTGAGTTGCAATGGACGGCCTTAGTATGAATCACAAGAAGTTGGAATAGAATACGCGGTGGTACTGCGCATTCGGACGGCCGGAACACTAATTGAGTGTATTTTTATTAGCTGTGGCCATCCTAGCAATAAAATAATTAAATTCGTATATTTACCGACAAGCGGTATACAGCTCTAAGCGGGAGTGATCATATGTACACAGAGGTTGCATCAGCATTTATTCGGTTTAAAACATGACAATAGACGTAAAAGGGAAAAAACAGAATTTCGAAGAATAAATATTTGCTCGGATCATCGACCCGATCACACAAAATGAAAAGCGGACGAATATTTGTGCTTCTGTTCTAAATGTTCTAGGTAGCGAAGCTCGGAAGCACTCAAAAGTAGAGTAGGGGAGAGTAGGCTGCACATACATGCTTAAGTTCATGGGTAATTAAAAGAGAGGGCAAACTGACTGCGGGCAAATGGCTACTCATAGGTTGTTTAGACCAGCTATCGTCAGTATTTCTGGTGATTATTGTTCACAAATTATTTTAACACGTTCAGCATAGTGAGGAAGGTTGCTGGAGAATTTTGGAACGTGGAATGCTTAGCACTCGTGCGTGTTTGTAGTGGAAGTCGGTTTTACAGATTAGCATATTTCAGTAAAAAGTAAATCGATCGGATTTTATGAGTCGCAGGTTGTGGAAATAACAAGTAACCGCCAGTACGGTTGGAGTAATTGGCGGTTTTACGTAGTTCGAAAGCATTAATTTCCGTGAAAAGCCACTTAATTATAATGCTGAAGAGAAGAAGAGATCGTTCCTCAATCGTCTCAGCTGAAGTGGATCAATTCGGAAGTGGCGACAACGGCCATAATAACTCTGCGTTGAGCAGCGCCCCATGACCAGTTGGTAAATGATCATTGGACATTTTCAAACTTGTTCTGTCTTTCTTCCTTTGTGAATGAAGGTACAATATTCCAAAGTAGGTTTTACGATTATCTTGAATAACTCAAGTCGTGTTTCAGGAAGGGAGCATGTTTTAGCCATGTGACCTTATACTTATCTGGCATTTGTGACTTGGCAAAGTATGTCCAGAAAAATTGAACGTTTGAATACCTAATTCCCAAATCCTGAACTGAATCAGAGTTTGGGAGGACGTCACCGCCGAGCGTAATATTACCTTCCGGGATACGACATCTGTATCCAAGTAATTGGCATTTGCTTGCGGAAATTTTCATTAGATGACATTCACTGGAGATATTCAGTGCGAAATGGTCATCGTGTATGCTGCCCAGACACACTTGTAGTTGGTTTGGTTGA